CAAGCCATCAACCAATGAGAACACAGTGCCCAAATAAGGTCTTGTTTGTGTTTAAGGCAAACAAAGAGAAGCAGGAAATCAGCGCCATCTTGTAATGGAGGCCATGTGGGCCCGTTCATGGCCCTCCACACTTAACAACAACAACAACAACAATAACAACAACAACAACAAGATGATATCTATCTATCTATCTATCTATCTATCTATCTATCTATCTATATCTATCTATCATCTATCTATCTATCTTTCTATCTATATTTAGATAGAGGCTTTGAAAAGGATAAAAGGCAAAGAGAAATGGAGCTGGCACTATCTCCTTTATTAATCAATCTAGATGACCATCTGTATTCATCAGATTTCTGAAACAAAAGTAATTATGTAGGAATTTAACATCACAAAAGTATAGAGGGAAAATGAAGAGATGAGAAGCAACCCATAGTTATCCAAACAAGAAGTAGCTACCATCATTAAGTTTCAAGTAGCAGTGTGGGCAGATGGTATTCCCAGAAGCAAAAAGTAGACACTGTTTTAGGGAAATTTGAACTTCAGGGAATATTTTGTCAAAAACTGGGACCATTGAGGGGGAAGAGTCTAGCCCCCTGGAAGCTGAAGTCCGGAAGAAGACACAGTTACCTGCAGAAACCTTGCCAGGAGAGCAAGGAGCACCCCTTATTTCACATCCCTGACTTAGTACCTTCAACCTGCCAGTATTTCCTACTGGCTGTATCCAATAATCGACCAGCTGAGAAAATGAGAACCTAGAAAATGAGTTTGCTGAGACTTGTTAGAATTGGATGCAAATCTGAGGAATGGAGACAGAAGCACACCTGGCCATTTTAGTAATCTCTTGTGTGATACAATCCCAAACGCACAGTGATTTATATCCACCAGGTGCTCCACAGAGAAAGATGGGCAGTCTCCTCCCATGCAATTTACTGCCTCTGGAAAACGGCTAGCGAGTCAGCTGAGTCAGTTCTGACTCAATGACACAAAACAACCCACACTTACCTCCAACTACTCAGATCTCTCTGCTCCTTCCACAAAAACAAAACAAAGCAAAAAACCCACCACAAAATATCCTCAAATCTTATGGTTTTTATTTGAAATCTAGATGATTCTGGCTCAATGTGTAACAAAAAACAACTATTCTACAGACTTTTTTATTTATTTGGTGTATATCTTCTTTAGGGAAGTATATTGCTACGTCTTTCTAGGTTGGTGCTCATGGATAGATTTGAACTTCCAATCTTTTCAAGTATAAATATCTGTGACACCCACAAACCTTTCGCATTGCCAAACACATAATAAATGTCCATTACTCTGAACATTTCCCTACTGCGTTTACCACTATTGTTGCCAGAGTGCAACTACTATGTCTTTTTTTGTTAGAATTCAACCAGTTTTTCAAAGCCTAATTTGAAAGCTATTGTGCTTTCATACTGCCAGTTAAAATAAAGACTGAAAACTATTCTTTCGAATACTTCAAGCTCATTTCTCTTGCAGCAGCACTTTGTCTTTGAGTTATATAATGATTTGCATGGTTTTGTGGTGTTCTTTTTTTCCTCCCCGCCCAAATGTGAAAAAGAATTGCTTTGACTACTCCCTCCTTCTAAGCCAATCCTTCTTTTAAGGCCAAAATGCATGCATTGTTGATTGCTACAACAAAATGTTGGAACGATCATCAAAACTATAGGAACAGGACAATATTTTTCCCCTCAAAGATTCTGAAGAATTAATATTTTTTTTTTGTTCCTGGGTAAAAGGAGCTCTGTTGGTACAGTGTATAATGTGTGTCTGCTAATACAAAGATTAAAAGTTTTAATATACAAGCTTATCTGAGGGATAATGTTTAGGAAAGTCCTCTTAAGAAGATCAACAGTCTTGGAAACTCAACAAGGGCCAAAATCAATTTGGCAGAAGTGGGTTTTGGTTCTTGATAAAGGAACATAACTTGGTTCCATAACCAGGTATATTGTGGTAACTATTTCAGCTAATATCAACTAAATGTAGCCTGAAATATGAGAAAAACAAAGACTATAATGTTGGGTTAAATTAATACCAAAGAACTGACCTTAGAGATAATTGAATCTAGAGACTCAAAGCTATTTTGTTTCTTGTCTCTGTCTCTGTCATATTTAACTAGGGGAAGAGGCTTTATATCAGAGATGAAAGTTAATCAGGCATGATGCTACTACTGAGTTGACTGAGTTTTGGTTCTTGATGAAGGCTCTTTATGTCAAATAATCATATTTTGCAAGTGTCTAAGAAGTACAGAGTAATATTCTCCCATAAAAATATTCTATTAACGTCTAGAAATCAAGAAGTGTGTTCTGGTGTTGATGTGGTTAAGCACTGAACTGCTAAAAAAAGTTGTTAGCTTGAATCCCTTAACCTTCCCACAGGAGGAATATGTGGCAATCTGATCCATAAACATTTGTGGCCTTGGAAACTACAATTCTACTCTGTTATACAGGGTCACTGTGAGTTACCATAACCAAAGCCTTCTTGATTTGAGCTTTAGAGAACAGGAAAAAGCTTTTCCATTATTTTTAATCACCCACTAACTCATTCATTGCCCTTGAGTTGGAACCATTGTGTTTCCTACAAACAGAACAGGAGAAGAGAGATTTTCCATATTTCTCCATAGGAGATGTTGAGATATTTTTAAAAATCAATTTTTCTAATTTTGGTTTGAAAATTAACTCTGAGATACATCATAATATTCTGATAAGAAACCAAACCAAATAGATTTAGGAATTATAGAGATTTTTTGGGAGTAGACTAAATATATTAGGAAAAAGAAAAGTCCTTTTATCTTATAGAAGAAAATTCTGCTGATAGTAAAGAGAGACTACAGGCATAAATTGACTATTGAAGCCTCTATAATTTGTAGGCTCGATAAATGAATTACAGGATACTTTCAGCTACTCTGAGTATTTCAGGTTCCCCCCCCCCCACAGATCCTCTGGCCTTTGTGCTTGGAGAAACAAAAAATTAAAGCCACATCTGTCACCATTGACTTAGTTTGGATTCATGAATACTTCATATGCTTCATAGGTGACCCTCTAGCAGGTTTTCAGAAGCAGTAAACTGTATAATAGGAAGAAAGTGCCTATCTTTCTCCCTTGGAGTTGCTAGTGATTTGAATAACCAGAGAGATGCCGTCTTTGGGTAAGCAGTGCAGTTCCCTATGGTTTATACCACCAGAACCCAAGTTGATGAGTTTTTAACAGTGTGGAATTAAAAATTTAGAACAAAACCATTTTCTCGCCAGGCCTTTCTTTGACAGAAGTGGCAAGTGACCTGCTGGTCAGTATCTGAGACCAGACTGTTTGTGTGATGGTAGGGACCTCTAAGAAACTAGGAACATGGGTTGGAATATTAATACTAACACATGTGTATGCCTATGCATGCATACAACACATGTGTTCAACGTCATCTGGATTTATCTACAACAGAGTTAAAAATACAAGTGTAGTCCTATATATATAGGCTCTCTGGGTTCCTTAAGAACTTCTCTGTCTCCATCCCCCTCTCACATGGCTCCTTTCCTCTTACCAGTGCAAGATCTCAGAAATCTTGCTCTCTGAAAATCTTCTCTTTAGTTCTCACTGCTGCTGCCAGACACCAGCCTTGCACCTTGAGCAGCCACCACAATGAGCAAGTATTTCCAGGCATATTGGGGGTTTTTTCATTCCCTAAATATTGCCTTCTTATTTAGGCCACATGATGAAAGCTCTATCTATTGTGAAATTCATGTAAACCATAAATTACAAAGATGTATTCTTATTTGTATTCAAGCAAATTGGTTCTTTCTGTCCTTCATGTTTATTATTCATGAGATTCTCCATGGTGTAGGACATTGCTCTAGTGTCTAGAGTTCAAATAGACTAGCATTGAAATGAGACTCTGAAACTTGACTTTAATGTGTTGCTCTATAATTTGGGGTTAATCTCTTTACTTCTGTAGGATTCAGGGTTTTTACTGGAGATAATAAGGAGCTTCAATTTTACAAGAGTAATTCTAAGCTCTTTTTTAGTTTTGATACTCTATTATAACTATAAAAACCCCTCAAGGTAAATATTTGCATATATGGGAGTATACAGAGAAGCTAAACCTATAAAATAGAAATCTCTAACACAAAGTTATAAATTATTTAAATTGATTTTGAAAGCATCTTTAATAGACAAGTGGTTGGAGAAATGCTTAGGAAAAAAAACCCCACATTGACAACTTGTAAGTTACAGATCTCTCTCTATGTGACTTTTATCTCACCTTCTACTACTTTTATATTCAGCACAAGTTTTATCACAATTTGCAGCTCTGTAGAATCAAAGTAGAATATAAAAATCAATCTGTACTTATTCTGTTTTCATACATCATTTAAAATGACCAAATATGATGTCTGTAATGGGTCCCAGTTTGTCACTCTGTTGATTCAAAAGATGGGCGTCTATGTCCAGAGAAGCAAGAATAGCATTTCATTACTTCAGCTAGGTTAAGTCTGTGTGACCAAGATTAGACACATTCATAGGAGGCAATGGGCTTGAGCAGATGGGAAATAAGGAGAGTGGGAGATCAAGCAGATAGTAAGAATGAAGAGCGATAGCAGAAAGAAGGGATGGATAGTAGATTAGGAACACACCTGGTGTACTGAAATCTTCTTAGTGCAAACCCTCTGAGCTTCATTCTAATCACTGAAGATCTCTCTAGATCTTTTTAGCCACTGATTTCAAGTACTCCTTTGTTTGCTATGCATCTCAAAAGGATTTGGTTGCGCTTAGAGCCAGCATGAGTCATAAGCCATAACACATTAACTATATTATTTTTTTCCCTGCACAACAATCCTTATTGCTGCTTTCCCTCAATGTCAATTAGTATGCATACATTGCAGAAACTTTAGAAGCAGATACAGAGATATCAGGCAAAGACTCACAGATTCCAAGAGTAACCTATGCACTCTTTTAAGTCATCATTTATTAATGTATATGGCATTTCAGGATAATGAAATCCCTCGCCAAAAGCAAAGACAAGGAAAGTCATCTCTGCACAGTAAAATATCTAAAGAAAGTCATTGCATTCTTCCCAGGTGCCTGTTAGAAAGTACCTGGATGAGTGAACAGGCAAAGAAAGAGAATCCTGGAGGTACGAGTTGTCATTGAGAACAGTCTCCTTTTCTAGAAGTCCTTTCCCAAAATGACTGCTAGGAAAGAATCCACTGAGTTTCCCTGAGGTTACTTACTGTTCTTAGGTGATGTGTCCCAGATGAAGCTGTGAAAATGTGTTAGAATGGACTCAGATGAGACAAAATGATAACATAAAATGAGGTTTTTCTCTGCTGTCTCTCCATCTTTTATTTAATCTTTGTTCTCCTCTTGCTCCGTTAAATACATTTCTTTTTATTAGCACCTAACACTTACGCGGTACCCTATCACTTTATGAAGAAATCCTGTTCCTTAGAACATGGAAAGAGTAGCAGGGGAACCTTCTCTGTGGTTCCAAAGGAGAAAGACTCACAACAATTACAGCCAAGAAAACTCCCTGGGGCAGTTTGACTCTGTCATATGGAGTTGCTATAAAATAAAAAATAATCTTGAAGGCATCTAAAATCAACAAGGAGCTCTGGTAACATAATCTCTATCCAGTTGCACCACTAACCCCAAAACCCTGGGTCTCTGGTGGTTTAAAACCATCCGCGAATCTGAGGGAGAAAGGTAATCTTTCCTTAGTTTTTATTTTTTTTAATTTCTTTATCAGTTTGCATATAATAATTCATTTACACTGTGTTTCATCCATGTACTTTATCTTTTATACAATCTTTCATTTACAACGTGTTTCATACATTTATTCGGACCTGGAGGGTCTCTATGAGTTTGAACTTGTAACAACTGGGGGTGGAGTTGACAGAAGAAGGTGCAGGAGCCGATAGGATAGGCCTGTGGCCTCTTGGGAATTGGCTTTGTGGTATTGATGTTGTTGATGGCGATTCTTTTCCCTGGTGGAGTTAGAGGTAGTGAAACTTTGTTGCCCCTACCTAGGCTGTGCTGTTTGTACAACCTGGTGAGGTGTTTTATTTGTTTGTTTGTTTTTGGTACAAAACTGTTGCGCTTTCTAGAAGTAGGGGAGAAAACAAGCTATGCATATTAATTTTAATGACTTTTTCTTATTATATGTAATTAATAAAAAAATTACCAAAAGCTTACCTTCCACATTTTTTGCTAACATTTTATTGAATGGAGTCTATGTTGAGCATCCTGAGTGTACATTTTGCTTTGTACAATACTTTCTAGGCATTGTATTTAATGTAATTAATTATTATTACTCTATGATTTATCAGATCCTGCCTCATCAAGTCCCCATTGCATCTTTCCTATTCCTTCACATCCCTCCACCCACCCAGTAATCTCTGCTGTCTAAATGATTTCCTATCCGTTCTTCCACACCTGTGTGCCTCCTCTGCTTTTCGTTTTGAACAATTCTACATATCTTGTGCCTATTTGCTAAGTGCAATAACCATATTGTCCTTACCTCGATTCTTCCCAGGTTGATCAACTTGTAAAATAGGTTTTGTCGTACTGGTTTTGTAACTGCTAACTTACTAACTTTATTTATAAATTCTAGTAGTTCCTGTGTGCATTTGGTGGGCTTTCTGTGTATATGGTAATGTATATAAAGACAGCTTTTACTTTTCTCTAAGGTTTGTGCCTTGAGTTTATTTTTACTTATTAAACTAGCTATATAAAACTCGTTACGACGTGGATAAAAGTGGTAACATTGGACATCCTTGCTTTGTTTCTGCCCTCAGCTAAAAATATTTGCATTTCATTTTTGAGTGTGGTAACTGTAGATTTTTAAAACATGTACTGTATCATGTTGAAAAATTTTCCCTCCTAATCTGTTAAGGGTTGGTTTTATGTCTGATTTCTGAAAATAATGAATGGATGTTGAATTTTCTTAATTACATTTTTCTGCATCTATTATAGTTATGTATAGATGGATTTATTCTTTATTAATATAGTAACCACTTTATTGATTTATTTTTGAATCCTAAATCACTATTTTATTTTCCAGATGATTCATTCTTGTTATTTATGAATTCTCTATACTGTATATCGGAGGATTCTATTTGTAAATTTTGTCTAGAACATTTAAGTGTGTGTCTGAGATATATTGGTCTATAATTATTTTTATTGAGTTGTTTTTGGTTAATGCTGGCTTCATTAGATGAGTTTAAAATTATTCATTAATTTTTCATTTCTGAAGCAGTTCACGTAGGAATGGCAGTTTTTTAAGTATTTAACAGAATTTACCATCAGGGGTCAGCAAAGTACAGTCCATGGACCATATCCAATCTGATCTGTTTTTGAGCTTAGTTTTTCTATTTTTTAAAATGTGTGTATGTGTGCATGTACACTACATATTACATTTGACCTTTTGTCATAAAGTAGATCCAACTCATAAAACCCCCACAGTATAATATAAAACTGTCTCATTTGGTTTCCAAGGTTGTGACTGTTATAGATGCAGATTGCCATGCATTTATCCCTAGGAATGTCTGATGACTTTGAAATGTTGAACTTTCAGTTATCAGCCAAGAACTTTGCTGTTACTTTAATATTATTCTTAATGTAAAGTGAACTTTATCCAATATCCATTGTTGATGGATTGATTCAAACTCAGGACAATTCTCCACTGAGTTTCCTAAGCAATAAATCTTAGTGGGACTTCTTCATTTTTTTCTGCAATGAGTAGTGGTTTAGAAATTGTTACTATTTTATAAGAAGCCTAAAACATTACCTACTAAATATCAATAGTTTGAAATAATCTTCTGCACTGTAGGACAAAGAAAAGACACTGTGCTTGTCCAATACAATTGTATTATTTTTCTTTTTGTTATCTGCTACCATCTTTTATGTTAAGTCTGAAAATATTTTTTATGTTTACTGAATTTATCTTGTAAACTCAAAAGCTTATTGCTGTAGAGTTTTGAGCTTTTTTTTTAGGTTTTTGAGCTTTAATCACAAAATGTTTATTGTCCATATTTCTCTCAGGGGAGCCACTTATAAATTCATACCAGAGAGCTGTTCACGTTTGGTTTAGGAGCACAATCTCAGATGAACTAAGCCATCAGAGCTCTTTTTTTTGGGGGGAAGACCTCCAAATTTGACCATCTGTATTTGTTAATTGGGGTCATTGTTGTTGTCATGTGCCATTAAGTCGCTTGTGACTCATAGAGACCCCAAGTACAATAGCCCTAAACCCTGCTCTTTCCTGTGCCAATCTCACTGTCTCCGACACACCCACACTGATTACCCCAGTCACTGAATAAATCCACCTCATAGAGGCTCTTTTCCTCCTTCTCTGTGCCTCTACTCTCCCAAGCATGACATCTTTCTCCAAGGACCAGTCCCTCCTTCAGAATCCTTACCTCCAAGGAGCTGCCTGGCGTCACCCTCTCCAGGATGAACCTGCTCGTTTTCTTACATTCAATACTCTTCTCCAGCATCACAGCTCAAAGGCATCAATTCTCCTTCTATCCTCCCTAGTCATTGTCCAATGCTCTGCCGCATAGCAAGTGATTGTAAAGACCGTGGCCTGTATCAGACTCACCTTAGTCACCAGCGTAACACCATTGCTCTTCATTATTTTGGAGAGGTCCCTAGCAGCAGACTTTCCAGTGGCAGTACGTCTTTTAATTTCTGGGATGCTGGTGCCAAGAGTGTTGACTGTGAAGCCAAGCAAACTAAAGCTGTGAACTATCTCAATCTCTTCATCATCGATCCTGATGCTGCCAGTTGGCCCAGTGGTGAGACTCTTTGTCTTCTTAAAATTGAGCTTTAATTCATATTGAAGGCTGCAGTCCTTGACCCTCTGCAGCAAGCACTTCAGGTCCTCCTCAGTTTCAGCAAGCAGGGTTGTATCATCTCCATAATGCAGATTGTTGATGGATCTTCCGCCAATCCTGATGCCACATTTCTCCTCATAGAGCCCAGCCTCCCAGATAATCTGTTCTTCATACAGGTTGAAAACGTATGGAGACAGGACACATCCCTGGCATACAACCTTCCCAATTTTGAACCATGCATTGTTTCCTTGCTCTGTTCTGATGACTGCCCCCTGGTCCAAGTATAGATTTCCCATTGGCATGGTTAAGTGTTCTGGGATTCCCATTCTTATCAGAGTCAGCCACAATTTTTTAGGATCCATATAGTCAAATGCCTTTTCATAATCAATGAAACACAGATAGACATTCCTTTGGTATTCCCTTCTTTCAGCTAAGATCTATCTAGCATTAGCTACAATATGCTTAGTACCATGACCCCTTCTAAACCCAGCAGGGTATATAAATTTAAATATCTATTTTCTGTATATTGAATCCACTACACTACTTTGATATTTTCTCCATCTATAAATTTGTCTTATTTTCAGTATTTTTGTCTTTTATATTGTTAATTTAAGTGTTTATTTTTTTCCTTAAACTCATAAAAATCTAGTTGATTCTTATTTACAATGGTCTCCCATTAGGTTTGTGAGATGGCATTAAGCAGGTGACACAACCCTGCTTGCTGAAACTGAGGAAGACCTGAAGTGCTTGCTGTGGAGGGTCAAAGACTGCAGCCTTCAATATGGACTGAAGCTCAACATCAAGAAAACAAAGATTCTCACCACTGGGCCTATTGACAGCATCATGATGGATGATGAAAGCTTCAGTTTGCATGGCTCTACAATCTACACTTTTGGGACAAGCAGCCAGGAAATTAAAAGACAAATTGCATTGGGAAAGTCTGCTGTCAGAGACCTCTCCAAGGTACTAAGGAGCAACGATGTCAGTCAGGAGATTGAGATGAGCCTGATACAGGCCATGGTCTTTGTAATTACTTGCTATGAATCAGAGAGTTGGACAATGACTAGGCATGATAGAAGGAGAGCTGATGCCTTTGAGCTTTGATGCTGGAGAAGAGTATTTTATATACAAATGGACTGCTAAGAGAACTAACAAGTTCATCCTGGATAGGGTGAAGCCAGGCTACTCCTTGGAGGCAAGGATTCTGAAGCTTCGTCTGATATACTTTGGACATGTTACAAGGCAGGATCTGTCCTTGGAGAAGGACATCATGTTTGGGAGGGTGGAGAGACAGCACGGCAGAGAAAGACCCTTGATGAGATGGATTGATTCCGTCACTAGGGTAATGGGGATAGGAGTGTCAGAGTCAATAAGATTGGCAAGAGATAGAGCAGCATTGAGGGCCATTGCACATAGGGTCGCTATTGAGTCACAAGCAACTTGATGGCACATAACAACAACAACAACAGCAAATCTTTATGGGAGAAAAATGTTTATCTTTCTCCTGAAGAGCTGCTGCTACTATTGGTTTGGAACTGCCTTGAGAAACATGACATTTTAACCAGCAGCACAACATACTTTGGAGTATGCCTTCCTTCCAAGATTACAATAGAGATGACTTGATTTATAAGCTGTCTCTTGCTATTATTATATGCTATTGAATTTACCATACTCGTCTTGAGTTTATGAACAACAGATCTGAAACTTACTCTAACTGGCACCATTCTCAGTATACCTGATACGCTCAAATCCATTGTTTCAGTCATTGCACCACATATATTTTATTGTAAGTCTTCCTTTCTTTCTCTGGCCATCCATCTTTCTCAGAAAATCTTTTCCCACAGACTTATTCATCCTACAAACTAATACTTGATAGTATGTGTATAGTTGTTTATACTGCTAACGAAAATGCTGTGCCTCTGAAGTTGGAATCCACTCGTTTCTAGCTGGCTTGGCTGGCTCTTGAAAAGGCCCAAAGACCCAAGACTGGGGAGACATGTCTTGGCTGGCTTCCTCAGTGCCTCCGGTAGGCACAAGAGGCCCATTCTGCTGCACCACTGCAGGCCTCAGTGCAACCAGTGATGACTGTCCTGGCCATGATATTAGTGTGCCTGGTTGTTTCAGTGGTTTTCTGTTAGGAGTATCACATCTATCTGCCAGTTTTTTGTGTTTGGGAAAGGACTGCATATTGTTATATCTTGTATAGGTAAGTGTCTATATG